CTTTATAACGTTCTTATTTATTATTATTTAACTATTTATTAAACGGTCGTCCGTTTTATTTATTTACTATTATTTATTTTATTTATTTATAAGCGTCCGTTCTTTATTTTATTATATAATTATAATTACGTAACTTATTTATAGTTCTTCCGTTTTAAAAAGAGTTACTTATTATAACTAATTAGTTATAATAAGTATATTAATAAAAGTTAAGGCTACGAGTACTAAATAAATAGTATCGTAATTATAAATAGCTTCCCTAAAACTATATTTATAAGTTATAAAATAAATAAAGCTTTAGTAATTAATTATAGTTTTATTAAAAAGGATTCTTAACAAAAATAGCTAAAAATAATTATAAAATTTAATATTAAGTTAATTATTAAAAAAGCTATAAAAAGTCTATTTTTAAACCTAGCTCGAGTTTATACTATATATAAGTCTCGTTTTTAAATATATTGTTTATAATATTTTTATTTATTATTATTTAACTATTTACTAAATAGTTATTTATCCTATTTATTTATAGGTATCCGTTTTTTATTTTATTATATAATTATAATTATATAACTTATTTATAGTTTTTTTATTTTAAAAAGAGTTATTTTAAGTCCGTATTTTTATATATATAGTATAATAGCTATTATAAGTTTTATAGGGCGGGGCCTTAGCCTTATTATACATATTAAGTCGTAATATTAGCTTCTCTTTTTAAAGGTCTAGTTTTCTAAGCTTATAAATAGGTCGTTTATTTTTAAGTTAGGGAATCGTTAATATTACGACCTAATACGTATAATAAGGCTAGGGTCCCGCCTTACGGAACCTATAGTAGCTACTATACTATATATATAAAAGTACGGACTTAGGGTAACTCCTCTCGGGACAAAAGAACTATAGATAAATTACGTAACTACGATTATATAATAAAATAAAAAACGGACGCCCGTAAATAAATAAGACGAACGATTATAAATAAGTAAAATAAATAACCGTTTAGTAAATAATTAGATAATAATAAATAAAAATATTATAAAACATATATTTATAAATAAAACTTATATAATATATAAACTTAAACTAAGTTTAAAAATAAACTTTTTATAGCTTCTTTAATAATTAACTTAGTATTAAATTTTATAATTACTTTTAGCTATTTTTATTAAAAACCTCTTTTAATAAAACTATAATTAATTACCGAAGCCTTACTTATTTTATAATTTATAAATATAGCTTTAAGAAAGCTATTTATAATTACGATACTATTTACTTAGTACTCGTAGCCTTAACTTTTATTAATATACTTATTATAACTAGCTAGTTATAATAGTTAAGTATTTTTTTAAAATATATTTATATAATATTAAGTTAAATTAAAAAATTAAAGTTTTAAATAGTTACGTCTTATTATAAATTATTATATATAGTAGTTTTTTTTTTTAGTTTTATAAATATAAAAGATCGACCTTAACGGGATTACGCTTTTAAAGGAAATTATATAATATAATATACTTTTTAACTATATAATATGCGTAATATATCCTAAGTATACGCTTAATATAATATAATAATTTTAATATAAAAACCGCTATTTAATTTAGGATAAGTAAGCTACCCTCTTTATTACGTAGCGGTACTAGTTAGAAAAGTTAATAATAAAAGTTAGTTATAATAGTTAGCTATAATAGTTAACTATAATAATTAGAAGCGGCCTTTTTTAACTATAGAGGTTCTAAATTTTAATAGCGACGTAGAGGTTTTTAAAAAAAAGGGCTAAATAAGCTAATATTTATTATTTGTATTAAAACTTATAAAGATTTTTTTTATCTTTATCGCTTTTAATATTACCTAAAGCTACTCTCTATTTAAATTAATCTCTATTTAAATTAAATAAATTTATTAAATAAATTTATTAAATAAACTTATTAATATATAAACTACTATACCGATAAGAACTTATTTTAAAAATATTTATTAATAAGTTTACCCCTCTTAAGCTAGGCGCCCTCGGCTAGCTCGACGTTATAACTATTATAGCTAATATAAGTATACTTAAGAAGTAATAAAGTACTTTTTAATAGTACGGAATTTAGTTAGGTAATATTATAAGTATTATAAATAGCCGGGCTAATATAAATATTAAGATTTAGTATATTAATATTAGCTTAGTTATAATAGTTATAATAAATAAGCTAGAGGTATATAGGGTTAAAGTAATAAGTTAGCATTTTAAACGGCTTTTATAAGACCCCCCGGGTAATAATAATACTTATATAAAAAAAGAGATTATACTAAACTTAGCTACTTATATAGGTTAGTATTAAGAGGTTTTATACGTATTAGAATAAGTAAAGCTTATTTTATAAGTAGTTAAAAGTAATAAAAAGTTAGGAGTTTTAATTATATACCTAGTTTTCCTTAATACGTAATATATAATACGGCCCTAGCAGATTGCTCTATCGGGGGGATAAATTATTATATATTATTCGTTTTTTTAATAAGGGTATTAAAATAATACTTTATTTAAATTATTATTCGTAAAGTATCCGTTATTTAGTTCTTTTTAACTTTAATATTTATAAAATATATTATTATTTAAGTATTTCGTACGATATTTTTATTAATATTATTTATATTTATAAGTATTATAGTTCTATTTTATTAAATTTAGCTAATTAGGTATAGTTAATTAATTAATAATAAAGTCTAATCGTTTTAATTATAAAAAAAAAGTAGAAGAGTTACGGTTTTATAAGAGAGCTACGGAGTTATAAAAAAAAGCTAAGGCTTATTAATAAGCTTAAGCTAAGTTAAACGAGTCGTTATTTAAATTAAAACCTTTTTATTTTTAAAAATAAATAGTATTTAAAAAGAGTTAAGTTATATAGTAGTTTTTTTCCGGCTTTATAAATATAAAAGATCGACTTTAATAGGATTACGCTTTTAAAAGAAATTATATAATATAATATACTTTTTAATTATATAATACGTATAATATATCCTAAGTACGCGCTTAACGTAATATAGTGATTTTAATATAAAAACTATTATTTAATTTAGGATAAGTAAGCTACTTTTTTTATTACGTAGCGGTACTAATTAGAAAGGTTAATAATAGAGGTTAGTTATAATAATTAGCTATAATAATTAGCCGTAATAGTTAGAAGCGGCCCTTAATTATAAAGGTTCTAAACTTTAATAATAACGTAGAGGTTTTTAAAAAAAAGGGCTAAATAGGCTAATATTTACTACTTTTTTACTCTACTAGAGCTTATAAAGATTCTTTTTATTTTTATCGCTTTTAATATTACTTAAAGCTACTCTCTATTTAAACTAACTTCTATTTAAACTAAATAAATTTATTAAATAAATCTATTAAATAAACCTATTAATATATAAACTACTACTTCGATAAGAACTTACTTTCTTAGTATATAGTTAGTAATTAATAAGTTAAAAATACCCGTTAATAAGTTTACCCCTCTTAAACTAGGCGCCCTTTTTAGCTAGCTCGATATTATAGCTATTATAAGTAATATAAATATACTTAAAAAATAATAAAGCATTTTTTAATAGTACGGAATTCGGCTAGGTAATATTATAAATACTATAAATAGCTAGGCTAATATAAATATTAAGATTTAATATATTAATACTAGCTTAGTTATAATAATTATAATAAACGAGCTAGAGGTATATAAGGTTAGGGTAATAAGCCGGCGCTTTAAATAGTTCTTACGGGACCCCCTAAGTAATAATAATACCTATATAAAAAAAGAAATTATACTAGACTTAGCTATTTATATAGGTTAATATTAAGAGGTTTTATATACGTTAAAATAAGTAAAGCTTACCCTATAGGTAGTTAGAACTTAAGAAGACTTTATATAGTAAAAAGTTAAAAACTATTAATAAAAAGGAGATAATAGTTAAGTTAGTTAACTATTTTAGTTAATAATTAGGTATAGAGCGTATTATACTTAGTTTTTCTTAATACGTAATATATAGTACGGCCCTAGCGGATTATTCTATCGGGGGGAAGAGTTAAGTTATATTAAAAGAGTTTCTTCAGGATTCTAAAAATATTTTTTTAGTAACCCGGGAAGTATAAGCTAATAGTATTTTTAGGGTCGTTAATTAAAATACTATAATAATTAAAGATTCTAAGTTTAATTTTAATTTTAATATTCTTTAAAAAGTTATTAAGAGTTCTAGAGGTTCGTAATAAGTTCTTATATATTTTTTTTCATATCTATAATTTTTTTATTTAATAAGGAATTTTTATATTTTATTTTTAATTTTATAATTAATAATTTATTTAATTTCGTATTTTAATTAGTTTAGTTTAATAATAATATAATTTTTTATATATAAACCTTTTAATACGAGCTTAAATAATAAAATATAAAAAACGAGATAGTATCGTATTATATTTAATAATTCTAATTTATAGTTAATTAATAAGACTTTTTTAATAATTTTAAAAGGTTTAAGTTTTTTATAGTCTAATTTATTATTTGGTTATTTTATTTTAATATTATAATAAAAGAAATAAGTACTATTCTCTTTTTTTAAAAATAGTTTTTTAATACTTAATCTATCCGTATTCTTTCTTATATATTATTATATAAACTCGAGGTTTAATAAGGCTTATTTATAGATTTTCTTAAGTTTATTTACGTTTATTATAGCTTTTATAGCTTATAATCTTTATTATATTCTTTTATATATTATTAATTAGAATCTATAGTTAAAGTAAAATAGAGATTTCTTTATATTTTTATTAATTATATTATTATATATAAACTAAGCTATTAATAAAAGCGCTATTTAATTATCTTAGTTATAGTTTATATAATAATAAAGGTATATTTTAAGGATTTAATTAATCCTTTTTATTTATTTATCGGTTTATAAGTAAAATAATATTAATAGTTTATAGTTTATATCGAGTTACGAAATTAGGGATTTTTAAACTTTCGAAATAAATAGCTAAGTTTTATTTAAAATATTTTTTTTAGTAAACCGTAATTTAAGAATATAACTTTAATAAATATATATACTAGGTCTTTTATAATACTTAATGTTTTATAGAAAATAAAGTACGTAAATTTAGTAAGTTAGTTAATTATAATTAAAATATTATCGTATTATACTTTAATAAATAGTTCTTTAAATTTTAATAATTTAATAATAAAATTTTATATAATTAAATACTATATTTTTATTAGTAATTATAATAATTATAGCTCGTTATAAAGTTTATACGGGCTATTTTTATTCTTTTTATAAGTTATATAGTTCTTAATTATTTTTATAATTTTAGTACGTATAGCGGATTTATTATAATATTAATAAATCTATTTTTATATTTTAATAACTCCTTAATAACCATATATTAATATATTATAAATTTTTATAATAAGTTTAGGGGTTATTCTTTTAATCAGGTTAATATTAATTTTTTTAATTATTATAAAAAGTTTTATAATTAATATAAAGCTATTATCCTTCTTTTATTTAAAAATAACTTATATTTCTTTAAGAATTATAATTTCGTAATTAGGTCTTTTATTAAGAGCGTTTACTTTACTATTTTTTAAACTTTTTTAATAAATAATTTAGAAATTAAATTTAAATAAGAACTCGCTCTATCTAACTTATTACTTATTTAAGTTCTTATCTATTATAAAGTTTATAAAGTTTTTATAATTTATATAAACTATAATTTCGTACTTAGTTCTAAATAACTATAGTTTTTATTTTTAAAATACTTTGATAATTACTATTAGTTTTTTATTATAAATTTATTAATTTAACTTTACTTTATAAAATATTTTAAAATAGAAGTAATATAAATAAAGCTTTTTTTATTTATTTTATTATTTTAAAACTACTTTTATAATAAAATTTAAAATATTAGTCTCGATTTCGAAAGGTTTTTAAAGGTTTAGGATTATAATAATTAATTTAAAAACGACTATATTCTTAATTTTAATAAATACTATTTTATACTTAAGATTTTAAATAAATAGGGTATTTTTTTATATTAAGTTATTAAGAAGTCTAATTATATTAATATAATCCTTAAGGAATTATTAATAAAAATTAATAAATTTTAAAAATCTTTATATATTTTTAACGTTTTATAATATAGGCTAGTCCCTAACTATTTTTATTTTTAATACTTATATATAAATTTATTTTAATATAATAGTATATCTAAAGAAGTTTATTTTTTATATATAGAACTTATATTTAAAAGGTTCGGTATATAGTTTAGTGTTTTAAAGCTTTTAAAATACTATATAAATATACTTCTTATATATTTCGAAGTTAGAGGAGAAAATAAGAATATTATTAATATAAATAATAATAAAAATATTAACGTATTTTTAAAATATATAGTTAACTATTATTTAAAAAGTTATTAAAATATTAATAAGTCTAAAAAGTATAACGAGGTACTCGAAAAGTCCTTTACGAGTTTAAAATACTATTTTTTATTTATCTCTTTTTTAATTCGAATTTAATTAAATATTTCCTTAAGATTTATAATAATAAACTAATTAGTTCTATAAAATAAGTTTCTAAGCTTAATAATAAGTAATAAGGGGTAGTAATTCTTTTTTATAATTTTATTAAGTTTTTTATAGTTAATAATAGGTTTTTATTTTTTTATTCCTTTTTTTAATATAAAAAATAAAAATGATTTTATAAAGGAATTCGATAGTTAAATAAGTCTTTTTTTAACTTTTTTATTAATATACTTATTAAAGTATTTTTATTCTTTTTAATTTATTAAATATATTTAAAAAAAACCTAAGTTACGCTCCTTTTTTAAGTTTAATTTTTATATCCTAATTATTATATTTTAATAATCCTATTTCTTTAGGTTATATAAATAATTTTATATATATTTAATACTCTTTAAGTATAATTTAAAATTATTACGATTCTTAATTATTATTATTAATTATAAACTTTTTAAAACTTTTTACTATTTTAATAAAAGCTATATATTGTATTTATTCTCGTTTTTTAAAAATTATTAAAAATCTATTTAAACCCCTTTTTTTTTAAGTCGTTTAGTAACTAAATTTTCTTAAAAAACTTAGTTAATAATTTAATCTATTTATAAGTTATACTTTTATAACTACGAAATTTTTAAAATAACGTTAATATTTTTAATCTCCGTAATATCGTATTATAATTATTTTTATTAATTATTAATATATATTAAGAGGTATATAGTTTTTTAATTAATATATTTATAATTATAATTAATTCGTTCTTTTTTTACTATTTATAATTAATATAGATTATTTTTTTATATTTATAATAAGTTAAGTTTATTTACTATTTTTAATAAAATATAAGTTTTTTATATATTACTATTAATAATAGCATTTAGTCCTTATTTATAAATATTAAAATTAATTCGTAAATATACGTCGTTATATTATATAATTATATAGTAGTTTTGTTTTAGCTTTATAAGCATAAAAGATCAACCTTAATAAAATTACGCTTTTAAAAAAAATTACATAATATAGTATACTTTTTAATTATATAATACGTATAATATACCCTAAATACGTACTTAATATAATATAATAATTTTAATTCGAAAACCGCTATATAATTCGGAATAAATAAGCTACCCTTTTTAATAACGGCGCTAGTTAAAAAAGTTAATAATAAAAATTAGTTATAATAATTAGCTATAATAATTAGTTATAATAATTAAAAACGGCCCTTAATTATAAAGGTTCTAAATTTTAATAATAATATAAAAGTTTTTAAAAAAAGGGCTAAATAGGCTAATATCTATTACTTTTTATACTAAAGCTTATAAAGATTTTTTTTATTTTTATCGCTTCTAATATTACCTAAAACTTTATTTAAACTAAATAGATTTACTAAATAAATTTATTAAATAAACTTATTAATATATAAACTACTATTTTAATAAGAACTTATTTTATTTTTAGTATATAATTAATAATTAATAAGCTAAAAATACTTATTAATAAGTTTATCCCTTTTAGGCTAAGTACCCTCTTTAACTAGCTCGACGCTATAATTATTATAACTAATATAAATATACTTAAGGATTAGTAAAATACTTTTTAATAATATAGAATTTAGCTAAGTAATAATATAAATACCGTAAATAACCGGGCTAATATAAATATTAAAATCCGGTATATTAATATTAGTTTAAAAATTATATTTTATAGAGCTAAAAATCCTTTTAATATAGGCTATATTATAAATATAAAAAAATATATAAGGGGCCCCCTAACTCTTAATAAGAAAAAGTATATAATATAGGATCTAGCTACTTATATAAGTTAGTACTAAGAGGTCTTATATATATTAGAATAAGTATAGCTCGCTTTTTAAATAGCTAGAACTTAGAGGACTATAGGGGAAAGTTAGGAGCTATTTTAATTAGTAATTAGGTATAAAGCGCAATATACCTAGTTTTCCTTAATATATAATATATAATACGGCCCTAGTAAATTACTCCGTTAGGGGGATATTATATAGTTATATATAAAAACTTTTTTTTTATTCTCGTTTTTTATTATTCTTTTATAATTAGCTTTTTTAGTTTTTTAATATACGCTTTTTTTACTAAGCGCCTTACTCGCGTAGTTTTTATTATTTTTTTTATATTTTAGTTTTTTTAATATAATAAACTTAATATTAATCGTATTTATAATTTTCTTATTCTATATATTCGCTATTAAAGTATTTTATAAAAAAGTTAAGGTCCGGACTAAATATTATTTTATTATTATTATTAAAACTTAGTAATATCTAACTAAGTAGCTAATTTGTTATATAAATATTTTTAATAAGTTTATTATTACGTTTCCGTAAGTAAAAGCGGCTATTTTATTTATATACGAAGTACTAAAAGTATTTATTATTTAAATACTCTATTTAAAATAATTCTTTATAAAAGGGGTCTTTAGAGTTAAATAAAAAGTAGTTTTTATTTATATAAGGGGTTATTATAACCTTTTTACGTTTTTTAATTTTATAAAACTAAATAGTTTAGTTATTTTTAAATAAATAAATATATTTATATTATAGTTCGTCGTCGTCTTTTTTAGAGTTAGTATTATTAATACTAAATAATACTTTATAATCGATCTCTATTTAAATACGTTATTAAATAACGTTACGAAGTTTATTTAAATTATAAAGTAATTCTATTTTATTAAAATAAAAAGAATTAGTTTTTATTTTAACGTCTTTTTTTTTAAAATTAAAGTTAATTTTTCTTTTTTTTATAATTCTAAAATTAAAAATCGGCCTCTTAATTATTTTAATCTTATTTTTATATAAGAGGTTTTTAAACTACTCCTTAATTTTATAAATAAATTTTTTATTACTATTTACTTTTTATATTATATAAATAAACTTAGTTAGGATTTTATTTAAATTAAGTCCTTTTTTAGGCTTAGTAAATTATTTTTAATTAATATAGTTTCGTTATATTATATAAACGAAGCTATTTATAATTTTGTTTATATTAAGTCCTCTTTTTTTAAGCTTATAAAGTTACTCTCTTATACTGACTAAGAGTCTTTATTTAATTCGTTTTTTAAAAAAGTAAAGTATATTTTTTATAATAGGGTCTATTTTAGTCTTTTCCTCTATATTTTTATAAATTTAAAAAAGTATTGTAATATACTTAATAATATTTTTTTTTAAAAATATAGGGTCGGTAGGTAGATATTTTTTTTATTATTATTATTAAAGTTTTAATAAATAGTATAATATTATATCTAGATCGTCCCTTATCTTTAGGTCGTTTTAAATACTATCCTATTTATTTTTTACTATTTTAGTAAATAAAATAATTATTATTATAATAAGCTATTTATAAAAGTTATTTATAGGGGACTTCTTTATTTATAATATTAGCTCGCTTTTTTAAAATAAGTTAATATTAAATATACTTAGGTTATTAGTAGTTTTTAATTATATATCCTAGCTTATTATAGTTATAGTATTTAAAGTCTTTTTTTTATTATGGTTTTTTATGTTTAATAATACTAAGGTCTATAAGTCCTCTGTATTATTTATAAAACGTATTTTA